AGGGCTCCGAGGACGAGGAGGAGATTGACCACTCAGGAGACGAAGCTTGTGCTGCTGAGGTTTGGACTGGCATGGGAAGGTCGATCTCGACAAGATTGATCCCTCTTGTGTCTTCTTTCGGCATCGCCAATCCAGGGTAGTGCACATCACTGCCGACGAAGCCGGTGCCAACCTGGGCTGCGGTAGGGCCATTTCGGGTCAGTACAGGAAGCTGGAGGCGCGACCCGCAATTTTGCATCCAAGGTGCAAGCAGTGCTTCAGGAAGTACTTGATTGTGCAGCAGGGCACATGACTCTGCATCCGGCTCGTGTCTGCAATTTTGTGCAAAATGGTGATGCCGTGCACGTGCGCTCCGCAAGCCGGTCAAGTGCTGTCATTAAGGGTATCGTGCAAGAGCAGAGATCTGGCGGGTGTCGTGTCCTGCAAGAGAACGATTTGACGAAGAGCAAAGCCCTCCTGCAGCTGCTTTCAGCTCGTAGTGGTCCAAGCAGCACACCATGGCGGCCTTCTCCGAGTCGGGGCCAGTGTTCAAATCACGATGTGCCCAGGTCGGTTTGGCATCTGCGGATGTCGAAAAACTCGAGAAGGTGGGTGTGGATTCACTCGCAAAGGTCGCTTTCATGACGAGCTACACGCCGGGCTCTGGCGATGACAAGGACCTCATCGCGGCGTTCGAGTCGGCCCTCGGGACGCCGCCCTCTGTAGGGCAGAAAAGCTCCTTCCGAAGGTTATTTCATGAAGCATATGCTGTTACCACTTCGGAAATGAAGATGCTTGTGGAGCGGACGGATGAATCCATCCCAAGAAAATTGAGCGTCCCAGAGAGATCTGAGAGGTTCGAGGTAGTGAGCAAACGCCTTGTGGGCCTTTCGATCAAGAATCGTCTTGAGCCTGCTGATAGCCTCGTCGACTCCTTCGTGTCGCAGTATGAGCAGGACAAGTTGCAGTTTGTCCCATGGGAGAAGCTTGTTTCCAAAGAACAAGAGGCCTCAACAGGGGCAAAGCGAGAGCCTTTCTTCTCGCTGGACAGTACGGGCAAGCTCAGGTCGGAGACGAAGGTTGAGGTCCGTGCCGACACTAGCAGCACTAGCACGGAGCTGCTCTTGCAGCTCGCGCTTCAGAGGCGCGGCGTCGCTATGGAAATGGCGAACATCCTTGACTACCATCGTCACCACATGTGGGTCGAGCGTCTTCTTGCAGCGCGCCTCGACGCACCTCCGTCGACGCACATGCAGCCCACACTTGATCAGTGTCAGCAGGCTGATAGGAAGCTTTGGCAGCTTCTCGGAGAAGCGACTCGCTCAGGCATCCAGCTCAAAGCTGGGGGGCGTCCATTGGACACCATCTTCGAGAGCACATGGCAGTCACCAGAGGTGCTTCATCTGCTTCAGCCGATGCCTCGGGCAGCAGGCGCTTCAGTCACGCAGCAGGTGGCACCGCCGCCGAGGCCGCACGGGCCGGGCCCGTATGATCGTCCGGGCAAAGGCCGGAAGGGCACAGGGAAAGGTGCCAAGGGCACCAAAGGCAGCGGGAAAGTTCCTGCCGCTCTTGCGGGCTGCAGATCTTGCACCAATGCAGGTGAAAACATATGTTTTGGGTATGGACTCAAAACGTGCAGGGAAACTGTGACTCGTGGTCGCTGCGTGCGCGGATTGCACATCTGCGCATGGCCCAAGTGCGGCAAATCGCATCCTGCACTGGACTGTCCGATGCGTGCTGAGGCTCTTAGCCAAAAGCAAGAGTGACAGTCGAAGAGCGAGCCCGGCAGCTCGCAGTTCTCGACTCAGAGTCGAGACAGCCCAGGCTTGGCTGGGCAAAGTTTTGCACCACCGCAGGCTCCGCCTGCGCCGAACAGTTCTCCTTCAGCAGTTCTTGATCCGTGTCAGCAGAGTGCTAGTATGGATTCAAGCAAGTTTTCTTCACTTTTGCAATTGCTTCGAAGCGCCAATTGGCCCGACTCTGTGCTGCAACGTAAGTCTGTTTCTTCGGCGAACCCCACGCAGTCGGGGTACTACAACTTCGGGCCCAGAGCCAGCTGTCCCCATCTTCTTACAAATGCCACGCTGCAGATGCGAGAGTTTGTCCAGCAGCTGAATTCAGCCGTCAAAGCACTTGTGCCTCAGGCGTCCTGGAATGCAATCTGTGTGGGCCAGAATACGCTGTCGGATTTTCACAGGGATTCCGGCAACCAACGGGGTTCTTTGAACCATACCTTCTCGCTGGGCACCTTTCAAGGCGGCCAGCTCTGGCTTGAAGATGCAGCAGGCACTTCCGAGGCCACGAGTCCCGTAGGCGGGCAGATCCGGGGCAGGGTTGTGAACACTTTTTGCAACCCCACTAGTTTTTCTTGCGACTTGTGGCATAAGACAATGCCTTACACAGGCGAGCGATGGGTCGTGACACTTTATACTATTTCAGGTGGGCAACCTTCCGAGTTGCTCCCGTTGGGCTTTCCGTGTGGATCCGCCGCTGTGACTTCGCAGTCTACTGGCGCGCAATCTCCGCCCCAGCCTGCCACTTCTGGGTCTAGCCCTTCGGTCTCCGTCCCTTTGGGTTCTAGTCTACCCCCGCCCGCCGACCCGCCTTGTAAACGCTTGAAATCCCAGGATGCCAAGGTGTCGCCTTCGCAGCATGAAAAGCCCTTGTTCTTAGAGATTTGTAGCGGGTCGGCTATGCTGTCTTATGTCGCCAAGGAGGCAGGCTACACTGTTGTGCCAATCGATTGGCATCACAACAAACAACGCTCATGTGTACATGCTCTGCAGCTTGATCTCCGCCTCGCCAGCACGTGGTCATTCTTGCGGCGCATTTGCTCCGAATACCATGTCGCTTGGATCCACATGGCCCCTCCATGCGGTACTGCAAGCAGGACAAGAAGGCATCTGCCAAGCCCTCCTCTAAGCCTTCGTCGAGGCCTCGTAGACGGCCGGCGGCTGCTGCTACCCGCAGCTCTTCGGACACTTCTACTTCGGACAGTTCCTCATCGAGTACCACCAGCACGGGGGCCGCTAGCTGCAGCTCTAGCTTGGGGCGTGACAGTGACAGTATGCAAGCCTTGGCACCTCCCATTGCCTCACCCGACTCAATGGAGGAAGTGGTTGTCGAGCAGTATGACTTTGCAGCAGCCTTTGCAGAGGCCTTTGGCAAGGCAGTGGGCAGGCAGGTTCCACCCTCTGTTGTCCACGACGAGGTGGATAGCGATGAGATTGTTGAGCTTCCCCACCTTGATCCGGCCAAGCCAGTCATCGAGGATGCTCTGGGTGCTCCGACTGCCTCTACCTCTCAGCCAGCCTGGGATGCACCAATTACCGCGGCACCAGCCACTCGCGCCTACAAGACCAAGGCCGTGGCAAAAATGCTGGTGCGAGCAAAGCTGCGATGCCCACAGTGTTATGGATATCTCAGCGGATGCAAAGCAGGCTGCTTGGGCGTGGCCCCCTTTGAGTGACGGTTCACAATTCAGCAAGATGCGAGGCCAGTGGACTTTGCAGCCTGTCGTGCCTTCAAGTAGCAAGCCACCTCAGCAAACACAGGATGGCATGAAAATCTGCGATGCATGCCTGCAGTTGCGTGACAACCGCTCGTGGCGGTTAAGACCAATCGACCTTGATTTCATCTGTACAACCATTTCGTGTTGTGCTGCTATGCTTCGGTCGGCTATTTATGCTTTGGCTCAGCACTCCCCATTTGTTTTCCATTCGGTACTGAGTTTCATATCACGATGCAGGCCCGCCTCCAGCTTTGACACATGTGCTACTCGACTGTGTCTGCGCCTCCGCCAGGCACTGGTGGCTGCTTTACCTTTCAGGCGCACAGTTTATGCAAGCCGGTCTCAAGTCAGCCCTTGCACTGCCCCATCCCATTGCCAGTCACAACGTGTACAGAGCCCTGCCGGTCCCAAGTCCGGCACGAGTTCCAGACTGCGCCTCAGCCCTTGCTGGCTGGGGGTACTTATCTTCATGACTCTTGCATTCGGAACTCGAGGAGCGAGGGTTGCCGAGGGTGTCGTCGCAACCTCGGCGGGAGCAGGCCATCAGCTCTCAGCAGGTCCCATCAAACCTGTGAAGCATAGCGACGTGCAGGTGCCACTGTCAGGACCCCGGAAAAGGGCTTTTCGCAGAGCCCAAAACCGGGCCACACGAGACGGTGCCACTTGGTACCGAGGACGTTGGCTAACACAAAAGCAACTCCAAGCAGCAGGCTCATCACCATCGCATCCCAAATCGGTCAGACCGCGCCCTGCTAACAGGTCATCGTTTCCTGGCAAACTTCCGGCGTGGCCGCCAACCGAAGATGATGCAGGAGCGACCTTTCGCAAAAGCCCGCACCAATTGTGTGTCTTTAGTCTTAACATCGGCAGTTTGACTGCCGAAGTATACGACGAGTTCTGTCGCTGGCTTCAGCTTCCGAGCACCGTAGCCACAATTGACGTGATCTTCCTCCAGGAGACCTGGAGGGGCTCTAGCGATTATGTGGTGCCTGGCTGGTGCTGGCTCACATCAGGCCAGAAACCCCTGCCAGGGCAGGGGGTAGCGATCTTGATCAACCGCCGGCTGGTTGACCCAGCCCTCATCAGGTACCGAGAAGTACGCATTGGCAGAATTCTCCATGTGCAGATACCCCTTTGCAACGAGCCTCAAGGCCGCCTTCTTAACCTGATTTGTGTTTACATACCTGCAAAAATTTCTGAATCCAAACAGGTCTACGAAAAACGGGCGGCGATTTGGAATGCCCTAGACGCTCTGGTGCAGGCCCTTCCCAGCCGACACTTCATGTACCTTGCTGGGGATTTCAATACTGATTTGCTTCAGGAGCATCCTTATGTTGGAGTGACACACACCCACAAGGGCAAAGAACGTGTGGTTGCCCAAGATCAGCACATTTTTCAAAATCTCCTTCGGACACATGGCCTGCGAGCGCTCAATTCGTGGGACAATCAAAGCACTTATGTTGACCCACATGGTCCTGCCTCTAGGGTGGACTTTGTCCTTGCGAGAACCATGCAGGCCACGGGTTGTCCCGTCACCGTTCAGCCACAGATCCATTTTGCATCCTGGCGCTCCGGAGCCAGGCACATGCCTCTTTTGGGTATGATTGACTTGAAGGCCTGGTGTCGCTTCCGGGATCGTACTCCAGCCAAGCTTGCCATTGATCAGGATGCTTTGTGCCGGGCCTGTCGCCCTGGCCCTGAGCTTGAGATACTTCGTCAGGCCTTTGCTGCCAAGCAACACCTTTTTACAGCTGATTTGCTACCCTCCCAAGCGGAGGCTGAGCTCCGCAACATCTGTGTCAAGGCATTTCCTTTGCAGCGACATAAAACCATTGCTCTGCAGTGGCAAAACCCGGAGGTTGGTCAGGATTTGTCTCTCACTTGGCAACTGCGTCGCAGCCTTAAGCAGCAGGCCGCCTTTTGGCCGCATCTGTCGTCTACGTTCAGAGCATGGAGGTTGCATGTACAGCTAAGCCGACGAGTCAAAGAACTGAAACGCAACAGCCGTCGTAGGCGACGCGAACATTGGCAAGCACAGCTTTCGGAGGCGGAGCAGGCCAGCAAGGCTGGCAACCCGCTGAAATTCTTTCAAGTTGTGCAGAGGCTGGCACCCAAGCGAGCACATGCACGAGTTCAGATCCGTGATCCCAAAGGTCAGATCCTCACTCCAGCCTTGGAAGACAAAGCCCTTGCAGAATACTGGCAAGGTATCTACTCCAGCACCAGTCTGCCCTATCAGGCTGTTTGTCTTCGTGAGCCGCTACTTGTTACCCGGCAAGAGCTCCATGATGCTCTCCGAGGCCTCAAACAACGAAAGGCTGTTGCCAAAGATTTGGCTCCGGCTGCAGTCTGGAAGGCCCTTGCCTCTCCTCTGTCTTGCTATCTGAATGCCGTGCTGAGCAAGATCTGGCAGCCTGGTCCGCTTCACATTCCCGCTGTATGGGCAAGGTCGGATCTACATTTTCTCTTGAGAAGCCGCAAAAAGTTACGAGACGGCCGCAGGATCTGCGCCCAATTGCCCTCCAATCGGCGGCGGCAAAGGCAGTCCTGACAGTCTTTAAGCAACGCTTGCAGCCCAGCTTCTTGGAGGCTATGCGCACCCTCCCTCAGTATGCCTACGTGATGGGAAGATCCACTCACGAGGCTATCTCGCGGGTAGCTGCACATTGCAAGGAAGTCCGTGACTTGCTCAGGTCTCAAAGCTTGACGGTTTTCGATCGATTTGAAGGTGCATGTTACAACCCGTGTATCGGTGGGGCCCAACTTGGGCTCGATCTGTCGAAAGCTTTCGACCTCTTGCCTCGCAGGACCTTGCAGCTCTTGCTGCAAGACACAGACCTTTCTCTTGAAGAACAGCAGGTTCTACTTGAATGGCATCAGGCCGGCAAGTATAGGATCCATAGCAAGGGCAACGAGCATCCGGTCTTTGTTCGGCTCGAATGTGGGGTTAGGCAGGGATGCGTGTTGTCTCCTTTCTTGTGGGGGTTGTTCACGAAGCACATTCAAAATCGCCTTGATGAGGCCAACGGCCCAGGATGGACAGCCCGGCGTGGCACTTTCTTTGCGGATGATATGCATTTTAAATGGGTTTTCCGCACGGAGGCTGAATTGCATAGCATCCGTCTTGAGGTTCTCAACATCTTAGTTAATCATACTCGAGCCCCAAGCACCTGCATGATGTAGCTAAGACGTCCTTGTAGAAGGTAGGTGAAGAGCAGCTTGAACGACGCACACGAACGTATTTGGCTCAAGTAAAAGAAGTGCTTTGAGTGCTTGCTTTTGCTTGTCTTGTAACACGACGGGTTTGCTTCGTGTTCAACTGGTTAACAGCCTCAGCATTTCATATCATTCACTGTGGTCGTCTAGGGAGAGTCTAGGAACCCTGCGAGCCATAGTGCCCCGCGTGCAGGCCTAGTGTCTGTGCATTCCATATCTGCAAGCAACTAGCAAGGTTGCGTGAAATCGGTTCGTCGTAGGTCTAGCAAAGACCTGCCCACTTCCATACTACTTTCCATATCCTGCACTGTCAATCTCCTGGGGTTAGAGCCAGAACCCTACAGTTGAGATCCCAACCAGAGCTTACATCGCAGCCTGGTTTTGCACATTATCTGTGAGGTCCAAATCTGCCGCGTGATTTGCCTGCCTGCTCAGGCATCCGCGTGGTAACCTTCTTCGGGTTTCTCAAAGCCCTGCCTTAGCACCTCTCCCGTAGTCCCGTTCACGGACGAAGGAGGCCAGGCCTTGTGGTGCAACAGGCGATCCAGTAGAGAACAGAACACAACCGCAACGTGTCAGGAGTGCGATTGCATCCCAGCAACCCTCCTGTAAGAGTTCCGCTGAGATTGGAGGTTGATTGAGATTTCTGGTTTGGGTTAGCGTGGGTGTTTCCCGTGCTCGGCCTTTGAACCGCGTCCTCAGTCCCTCATCCCAGCTGTAGACTGCCTCGGCAGCACAGCACAACAGCCAAAGGCAAACCAAGAATCAACAACAAATCTCATCGGCTCTCAGTGTGCCAGCCAGGGGGTTCTGTGTCGTTCTTCCTGGGGTGACATTGAACATCGGGTGATCGAGAGGGTTACCCAGCTGAGCCTTCAGGGATTGACATTGGGACATTGGATAATCTAGAGGATTGTCCAAGCAGAGCCTTCAGAGGAATAGCGAACTTCAATCTACTTGTGTTCGTTATCTGAAGGCACCCCGATTGTTTTCTTCTCTGCTGTATGAGTGGCCGCGGGGCTACTACGCCAGAGGAGAGATTCGCTCTCAACGCTGCGCTCCTGTTGGCAGCCGAGAAACGCGGAGGATCTGGCTCATCTGGGAGGGCCCGGAGGAGTTTGCACTTGAAGATTGTGGGTGGCTTTGCTTCTGAGCTCCGTGGACTCGCGACACTTGATCAGGTAGACCGCCAGAACTTGGAGACGGCCAACGCCTATATTAATTGGCTAGAGCAGGGTAATACCCCTGATCGGTTTGATCCTTTGCCCACTTTCCTTCCGTCTTCTGGTCCGACACTGTTTCCGCGGTCTTTTGCGCCGGCACCTACTGCCCCCGAGACCCCTCCTCCTGCTGATCTTGTCCCTGAGACCCCTCCGCCTTCTGGTCTTGAGTCTCCTGGTGTATCTTCTGCTGCTCCTAGTGGGCCTTTGGTTACGCCTCGCGAGCCGCCGTTTCCACCTCCTGCACGCCGTGCCTTGGGTAGTGATTCGGATTCGGTAAGGGGTGGAACTTCCGGTAGAGGGACTCTTCCGGGTGGTAGGTTACGACCTCCCACGCCCCCTAAACCCAGAGGCGTTTCACCAACTTCGGCGCCTGGACTAGCTCCGTTTGTCCCTATCGGGACTCGAGTGACGGTCACATCTGCTAACCCTCTTCTTCGACAGCCTAAGCGGGCCCGATTTGAGGAGGCTGCCGCGGAGGTTCTTGATCCCGTCGAGGAGGCGGTAGCGGAGACTCTTGATCCCGTCGAGGAGGCGGTAGTGGAGGTTCTTGATCCCGTCGAGGAGGCGGTAGAGGAGGTCCCACGGCCATTGGTCAGGCGTAGTGTTCGCTTCAGCGAGTCTTTATCAATCAGACAGATCGCGAACTGGATACAGCTTGAACGGGCCACACGTGTGGTATCGCTTGACTGTCACTTGGTGTTAGATCGCGACTACGCCGCGAGTGCCACAGCTGTGCAACGTATCTTAAGCACGTATTCCGACATCAGCTTGGTGGTCTGCTCTTTCGCTGTAACATCTTCCACCAAGGCCAAAGTGAGGGACAGCGTGCGTCGCGTTGTCGAGGGGCTGGACCCATCTTCTTTCGTTGGCGCTCCGGAGCGGGTGATTTCTTTATTGATTACATCTGCGAAGGTTGGCAACAACGGTAAGGGCGATCGGCTGTCCGCTTTGGCACGGAGTGGTGGGGTTGCGATTCATCACGTGGACGACCAGGATCCCATCTGTCGCGACATTTCGCGTTACCCGGGCTGTACCGGTTATTGTTGGGAGCCGTCGGACAGGCGCAGCCTCGACCACGTGCTGTGGTACGACCTTCACATCTAAAACGGGACTGGGGCAGACTGCAAATTCCGTGGGTTCTAGTGTTGAGGGTCAACTTTGAAGGTTGGGGTGAAGTATTTTTACAACCCTTAGACCTCGGTTGAACCGCTGTTCCCATAATGCCTCTAGCATCACAACTGGGATTCGAAGAATCCTCACTAGAAATTTCATCGTCGAGCACACCCCCTAGGGCCCAAGCACTTAGCGTGCGCCCGGAGGCAGCTAGACAGTCGGATTCATCAAGTTCGGGACCGATTCGGAGGAACCGGGCTAGATCATTGTCGTATGGACCCGCATCAAGGTCTTCATCCCTGCAATCGGCACCAACCTTTGCAGCGAATGTTGGCCCTGCCCGTAGTCAGAACCCAACCGGCCCGAACACGAGCCATCAGGAGTTGCACTTGCATCAACATGCCCACCGGCAGCAGGTCCTTCAGGTTGGGGTTGACCCGGTAGCCCATGCGAACATGCAATCCGAAGCAACATCAGCCATCATGAACGCCAGAGCTGAGACAGCAGCCGTGTTTGGCGAAGCCGAAGCAGTGATTCAGTCTCTAAGATCAGAGAACCAACAGCTAGGTGCCCAGGCCGCTGCGATTCAGGGTGAGTCGTATGCCGCCATACAGGCGCTAAGGTCCGAAAACCAGCAGTTGGGTTCACGCGCTTCGGTGATTCAGGGTGAAGCTGAAACGGTGATTGGAAACCTCCGAACTGAGAATCAACAGTTGGGGGAGATGAACCGTGAGCTCAACCAGAGGCTCGAAAAGCAAGCTAAGATGATCCTTGAGCAGCAAGAGTTATCTAAGGCTATGCATCAGCAGCTAATCGCGCTTCAGTCGCATGTGCAAGCTGCCGAACCAAAGAACCCAAGCATCCCTTCATCGGCTATCCCCGCGAGCTCTACCCAAAATGGCGCGGATCAGGCTGCGTCTGCATTCAACGCATTGCAGGCACTCGCGGGTGAAGTTGGGGGAACAATGCGAAGGATTGAACAAGCAATTGAGGTAGCCCTTAGTCCCAAAGCCAAAGCGAAGAAGCAGAAAGCTAAAGCCGAGGCTACGGTTAGGGCCATTGCACCATCAGTTGCGCTGCCGATCCCAGCTAAGGCTTCCGGTTCAAGCGGTTTCGTTGCTCCTAGTCCGGTTGAGTTTGGGGTACCACCGTATCAATGCAGTCGTAAGAACATCTTCACGGGTAGATTGCATTCCGCAACACCCGCACATCCTCCTCCTCCACCACACTCTGCACCGCAGAAGCTCAAGCCTCAAGTCTTCGACATAGCAGATGAAGATGACTTTGATGAGCATGGTGAAGATGAGGATGATGAGGGCGGAGAAGATTTCGAGGATGATCCAATCGTCCCGGTTGCGGCTCACGAGCCCGAGGATGACAGAGATTACGAGTCTAGCATTTACAAGTACAAAGACCTGAAAGACATCAAGCTTCCCCAAATTCCGGGTTCCAGCGTTGAGTTCAGGGCTTACCGCAATTCGGTGTTAACACAGATCGCGTCAATAGATTGCAGCGGCAAAGCCGTCCTGTTGAAGTGGCTTCAAAAGAGCTTAGATCCATCAGGTAGCATTGCATTGACACGGTCGCTTCAGCGGGATTGTGAGGGTTTGCCTAGACTTGATGGGTGGATTTCCGCGTGCATCAGTGATGCGAAACACCTAAAAGGTGAATGGGGATTGCAAGCGCAGTCGTACTTGGAAAGGTGTCATGCGTCTGGAACGATGCCATCGGGTCGTGCCCTACTGTCCATTCTTAGCAGAAGATACCGGATAGATAAAGTGCGCGGGCCATTGGTGACACTACAATCCTTGTTCGATTTAGAACCTGACTCATTCTCCTACCAATCGCTTGTAGCCTTCAAACAACGCGTCGAGTACGTGTTGAATGGCTTACCGGAGCGGCAATGGCCAGACGCCGAAACAATGTTTTCATGGATCTACTCACGGCTAAAGGGGTGCAGGATGCTGTCACGCACCATTGATCGGGTCAAAGATGCCAAGCCGGGTTCCAAGCGTAGGACATTTGAGTACATTTGGAATGGGTTAGAAGAGGTTCTTGCAGAAGTGCGCGAGGATCGAAATGAGCAAGCGCTAAAGGATTCGCTCAAAGAGGATTCCAAACAAAAGCAGAAACCAGATGCCAACGCGAAAGCGGCTGCGGCTAAGGCTACGCCCGCCGCTCCTGCTGCAAAGGCAAATGCAAAGTCTAAGGCCAAAGGCCAAGGCAATGATAAGCCCCCGAAGGCCCCGAGCAAAGCAACTCCAGGAGTCCCCGACGCCAATCTTGGTGCCGGTGAGGGTGCTGATAAGGGCAAAGGCAAAGGTAAAGGGAAGGGCGGGGGTAAGGATAGCAAGGCTAAACCTCAGAAACCTCCAGCTGCAAAGGATTCGTCAGCAGGACAATCCGGCCAAAGGCCAGCGTGCTTCTTCTATCCAAAAGGAACATGCACTAGGGGAAAGGATTGCCCTTTTGAGCATGTAGATGCACCAAAGAAAGCTGCTCCATCAAAGGCCGCCCCAAAGGTGCCTGCCGGAGTCGCCATGTTAGCAGCCGCGTCGACGGGCGCGAGCGCATGCAACATCCCTTCATCATTTGTCCGCGGTTTCAAAGCCACATGTCGCTTGATCACCGCTCCCTTTCGTGTGTTTGCCCGCTTTGCGGCAGCACTTTCATTTGCATTGCCCGCAACCGTGCATCATTCGC